TATAAGAGCAAGAAGATTGCCAACTTGCTCATGGAAAACCTTCAAGACACCAAACAAAGACCCTTGAAACATGTCTTCACATTCCCACTTGGGGACTGCCAGCGTCAACGAACTCAATATATAGGCAAGACATCATCATCTCTTTCGAGATGCCTAACGATGTTCAAACATCAAGGCTCTATCAAGGAACATAATCTTTATACATAACCTGATTATCACCAGAGATATCCTCACAAACAACACAATAATTACACACAGAAATCATAATAGCGTGATGCATCAAATGAACAAACCCACAAGGGCCGTGACGAGGATTCGAACCGACGTCCGGGAGCATCCCAGACGCTGCCTTAATCGACTGAGCTACGACATGGTATAAGAACTGCAACCAGAAATTCTACTGAATTTGTTCATTTATTTGTTCAACACAATAATAATCGACAGATACAGCGACAACGGAAGACTGGACATCGGCGAGGCATTATACACCATGCAAACCAAGTCATGTATCATCAGCCAACCAGCACCAAATTACACTTTATCAACTTCCAGAACACACAGCATACTGCCCCAAGCATCATGCAAACAGGCGATGTTTGCAAGATGTAATGAGCCCATTGACCCACAAGTCAGATGTTTCACCTTCACCTCATTCTCGGCTATATATCCAGCAGTAGAAAGCTTTGTAAAACCTCCCTCTCTGGAGGAACCAATCTGCAAGTCCTTCGCACATACTATGTACGTAGTCAGATCAGTGATCGATTATGCCGCACCTGCACTCACAAATTTATCACACCAACAGTGGAAAAAGCTTGAAGTTGCCCAAAACAATGCTATGAGAGCCGCACTGGGAGCCCCCATGTGGACCAGGCTTGAAACTCTTAGACTGGAGACGGGTTTGCCCTCTCTACAAGAAAGAATATCACAAAGGACAGCTACAATTATCAGTAAGATAATTATTTCTTCTGATCCAATCCCAGTACGGCAGGCCTTGGTGGTTGGACTAGGCCAAAACAATGGAAACTCTTGGGCTGCAAGAGCAGGAAAAGTCCTAAACGGACTACATTTAAAAAGCATGATTCTTGATAAAGAGAGTGATCATCCACACCCAAATTACACTCCTTCCGCACCGTGGGAAGAGCCTACTTTCAAAATAGTAATAGAAAGTCTCCCAATGAAAAAGGCTGCCTATGATCCGACAATCCTAAGGCGCATAATAGAAGAGCAAATGTATGGCATAGCAGTAGCCACCCACATCTTCACAGACGGATCGGTGGACACAGAATATGAGAGTGCTGGCGCTGCTCTTTGCACGGCCAGCGTACAGGCATACTGGAGACTGGGAGGACTAGTATCATCAACCCAAACTGAGCTGTTCGCCATACAACAGGCATTCGCATATGTGATTGCACAAAACACTCAAAATGCAATCATACACATAGACTCAAAAGCTGCACTTCAAATACTAGGACAAAAACAGTGGAAAGATAATGTGGAAACAATTACCACCATTTTGTATCTTGGAGCAGTCGCTAAAGGCAAAGGACTCAACATAACCTTAAACTGGATCCCATCCCATGTTGGAATCCCATTAAATGAGAAAGCTGATGAAATTGCTAAATTGGCAACTCGTCATCCAGTGATACATAAAACAATTCAACCCAGCCTAGAGAACATAAAAACATCACCACCAAAAAACTCTCACACCTCAACAAAGCCTACCTGCACCAGAGAATAGCTGAAGGTTCGCCCTCTGCAAAATGGTATCTTCAGGCAACCAAATTAGAAAGGTTAAATATCCCAAAAGGAATCCACAGGGAAATAGCAGTTAGGTTATATAGACTACGTCTAGGTTACAGATGCAACTGAGAGATTGGTAAACCCCGACAGAGAGAGTGCATCTTCTGCCAAACTGTCACAGAAAAGCCATTACTTCACTATCTTCTGGAATGTGAAGTGACCAACGACCTTACAAGAGCTTTAAGAGTTCCTAAATCTTGCAGTGGCCACCCTGAAGCCATCAACACAGCCACTCTCCTGGTCAACAAAGGTGTCCAGCAGCTGGACACCCTCATAAAGACTGTGAAGCAGTATCCTCCCCCGCGATAACAGCTTGATGATTAAATGCAACCTCAGAATACTGAAAAGAATTACTGAAAAAAAAAGTTGTACCACTTACGGGCTATTCATGCCCGTGCCACCTCTTGGGTGGCTTAATCTTTATCAATCAATCAATCAAGCTTTGTAAATGGGTGCTCAACATTGCAAACAGAATTATATGCCCTAAAGGAGGCAATAAACTATACAATTGAGAATAATTTAAATGATGTCATCATTCATACAGACTCTAAATCTTCGCTCCAGGCATTGTTATCCAGTCAGCACAGAGATAATATAGAACTCCTCACAGAAATTCTAAATATAGGAAAAGAAGCCCATAATCTAGGGCTGTCAATCACCCTAAATTGGATACCAAGTCACATTGGCATAGATGGTAATGAAAAGGCAGACTCACTAGCAAAAACTGCCACTGCTCTACTTGTTGTATAGATTCAAATACCTCCAAGTTTCTCACAGATTAAAGAGCAAATCAAGAAGAAAATATTCTCAACTATCAAAAGTCGTCAAAGAGCTAAAGTAGCGGAAGGAAGATCCACTGCGATATGGTACGAACAAGCCACTGGTTACTCCTCTTTCAAGCCTGACAAAAAGATATCCAGAGACATTGCAATAGCCATACACTGACTCAGACTTGGTTACAAGTGCTGCTGGGAGGTAATGAACCCAATAGTTAAAGAGTGTCATATCTGTGGAACAGAAGCAGAGGCGCCACTATTGCACTACTTACTGGAATGTGAAGCTACTGAAGCCCTGCGCATCCAACTCAACATTAATCCAACGACAGCAGCTGCATTAGATGCACATTCCACCGCGACTACAATGATTAGAAAAGCCGTTGAGGAATGGGACTCACTAGTAAACATTCTGCATCTACATCCGCCTCCAAGATAATGTTAATAAAACAAGACTAAAACCAGTACACTAAAACAGAAACGATAAATAAACAGGGAAAAAAGTAGGAATCCCCTCCTCCATTTTAAACTTAGACCCAAATATCACAGAAACAAGGTTATCGCGAATAATCGAACTCAATTACGGGCTCACCATAGCCCGTGCTACATGGAAACTTCGTTCTGAGTAGCTAAATCTAAAACTACAACAGTTTTGTAATCATTCAAACTCTGCCTTTGATAATGTTAACAAGAGTTGTCAAAACACATCTTTTAGCATCAGGCCAAATAAAATTGTAAAAATGAACTTTTGGAGATTTAATTGTTCAACTTTTTTCTCAATTGAGAAAAAACGTAAGCAAAATAGAAAAGATTCGCGTTAGCATCATTGATCTCACCCTATCTGTCACAGTCAATGATATAATCGGGTGTTTCAGAAACACATCATTGTAATCTAATAACGTGACCAATTCTCATTCAAATAATCTAAAATTTAACAGCATGTGAAGAAACTCAAAAAAACTTTGTTTAAATGTTTTTCTTTTAAGGTATAGAAACCGCATATACTGAAAGTAAGTAATTATCAAAGAAGGCACCAAGCCGGGAAGGCTATGTAGCACCATCCATTCACTAGAAAAGAAAAAAAGTTGTATGTACTTGGGTATGTTTGAACACAGACGAACAAAACTGCGCAGCGTGCATTGGCGAGAGAATTTGCTAAAAATGCACCAACTGCAATTCAAATTTGAACAAAGCACAAAAAGTTCAAAGATGAAGGCTGTCTGTGCAGGGTATAAAAGAATCTGGACGACCACCAGTACCAGAAGAGATGGTCGAGCGGGTTCGGGAAACATTTTTGCGAAGCCCCAGGATGTCCATAAGAAGATCAAGTCTTGAAATCGAGATTCCTTCAACGAGTTTGGCGTGTCGCAAGGAAACGCTTATTAATTAATGACACCTTACAAGCTGCAGCTCTTTCAGATCTTATAGACAGACAAGCAAAACCGCAAGCTATTGTGTCAATATGCACGGAAAACTTTAAGAAAACGAATTTGAACGTCATCCTTTCAGTTCCTAGAGAAATTCGAGCAGAGAATCACAGCCTCGGGTGCAGTTGTGTGGCGGGAGCTGGACTACCCACTGAGCGCGGGCCGGGCCACTGGCGGCGCGCTTATTGTAAACCTGTGAAATCGTTCATGAAATTCACATGCCTTTGAAATTCTCAATAGAATTTTGATGAATAAATCTTATTTAACTCGACATTAAACCTTTTTAGTTTCATTTGCCTAGTCTATGTAGATACTCAGATTTTTACATCACAAATGATATACAAAAAAATTAAACACCCTGTACAGTATATTTATACTATAAGGGAATGTCTGTCTCTTCGAAGTTGGAGGCCAGACGCTTGGGGCCAGCCTCACCCAAATTGGCAGAGGGAATGGTCTGAGGTATGTGATGAACATAAGGAATAAGCTCGTGCATGCCAATGCTTTCAGACGATGCGAAGGTAATGCAGAGTGTAAAAACCGGGAAGGATTATTGAAAGTAAAAGGAAGACCTTGAAATAACTACAGGAGTAGGCAAACAAATGGGTGCTAGAATTTAACTGTCTGAGTGAAGGTATATTATTAACTGTGAACCAAGGTGTAATATTGTCTGCAGATAAACTTATCAAAAACACTGTTTCAGGAGGCGGCAGGAGCAGTTCGGCCCAGCCACCAGCGTCTCCCGCTGCAGAATCTCCCGAGAGCCCGATCTATGAAAACGTCATTAGGTTCTCGGACCATTCTTCAGCGTCACATACTGGTCCTGAAGGATCCCTGGAGAACCCGGTATACGAAAACATTAATTTGGTGGAACTACGGGGCGGTCTAGCGTCGCCCCACGACAGTGTCTACGACGCCGACTGCCAGCCCACCGCTGCCCCTGGCGAGAGGGGCTCAGCCCATGTTAGTGAGAACAGTCTCTACGGCGCAGTCTGCTAACCTCTGGGGACAAAACAGCCTTAAACAACGAAAACAACATGTATCTATATTTTTGTCACGTTAGTTGCTGGAAAGCTATTATTTATTTAACTCATTCTCTCCAATTTACTCCCAGACAGAGGTTTAGCAAGATTCGAAAGTTTAGTTGAACACGTCCATGAACTCTCTCGTTCCCATATTATTGTTTCTTATAATTGTCTTGCTCTCTTACTGTCGTCTGTCAATTCCACTTGGTATTTGAATGACACGAGACAGAACGTTTGCGCTTCTGCGTCCGCGCTCACAATGGCAATTGTGCGCAATTCACTGTATATTTCCATATACGTGATTGAGTGTGCGCGCACGTAGTCACTAATGCCAATTTAAGGGAAGCGTACAAAGAAAGGGATAAAAGATATACAGATGTAGAACACAGTAAAAGTGAACAGCTGACGGATGTGAGCTACAGGAAGAGAAGACGTCCTGTGTGCGGCAAGCAGTACAGAGTAACATCAGTGTTTGTCCCCAACTTAGTTTATCCTGCGGTTCTCTGACGACCAGCTATAACAAAGTTTATGTTAACTCTTTTGGATGGAGGAGAAACTCTTGAAGGTGTGTGTGGTCCTATGGAAGTGCTGGACGCTGGTCATAGTCCTGGGAAACCATATTCCATCCTCGGCGTCTTTTCCAAAACTCTCATCACCCATCAACTCCACAACACCTCTGTACTCCACTTGGCTGCAGCAGTCTTCGCTAACTACCAGCCCAGGACTGCATCAGTCCCCACTAACTACCAGCTCAGGACCAGCCCGCTCCCCCAGCCAACACCCACCACTGGTCTCCACCAGAGATGTGCCACTAACAGGAAACACACCGATGGGTGAGACACAGTCCTCGGGGCAGAATACCTTACAACCAACTGTGTCACATTTATATCCCGACATGACCCTTCTGCCGAGGAAAAAGAGTAACTGTTTTAGTGAAGCTGTTCATGTCAGTAATAATTTAAAGGCAGTTATGAAGACCGACCGACAAAGTGGTACTCTTTACTTTTATCCCGAGGATGACTTTGAGTTTGTACGTATTATACTGACAGTAACTCATGGTGAACAAGACGGAGTGTTTAACAAAGAAGACCTTTGTGTCAAGGACGGACCTCGCTGGTACACCCTTGAGTTTAATGCTGGTTATTATGACAGGAGGTTTAAAGTTGATACATGGGGAATTAATGTCAAAGTAGATAAATGTGAAAACAAATCGCCATTTGATTACTTGTACGGGGCGAACTGGTTTCATCACATGAAGGTAGTGGCTAAGGGGTCGTCTTACTGGAGCACCAAAGCCCCAGGTCCAGACTGCCTCAACTCGCTCCCCGACCATACCACCGCTGGCACCGCTGAGGAAGAGCCTGAGACGTCTGTGTCAACACTCCCCTCAGCTGCTGACGACACCCATGCAAATGGTCATCATACGAGACTCCTTGTAATCGTTCTGACAAGTGTGCTCAGTGTGGCTTTCCTTGTGGTCGTCGTTTTCCTTCACAAACGGAGTAAGCGCCCCTGTTATAAAATAAATTATGTTTAATTTAAAATGTGACAGTCAATGTATGATTCTGGAAACAATTACTGAACGTTTCACATAAATTTTAGTTTAACGATCCTGTTATTACTAAATTTATTCATTTAATTGGTCAGTAACAGCAGGTATTACATGTCGTATTAGATGGAGTATCCGGCGGTGCCCGGGTCCCCCTCCCCCTCCATTCTCTCCCGAATCTCCCGTCCGCTTCCTTCCTGTCTCTCCTTTTCTTTCCTCTTCTCCTTCTCCCCCAACATACCTTTTCTACATCCCTCTCTCTCCCTCCCTCTCCACCTTTCTTCTTTGCTTCCTCTCTCCCTCTTTGCCTCCCCCCGTCTATCTGTGTGTTTATGTGCTTCTGTGTCTGATTCTATGTGTACGTTTGTCTCTAGGTCTGTCTTTCTCAGCGGGTGAGTGGAACAGGTGCCAGGGTGAGGGGGGGAGGGGAACAGGTGCCAGGGTGGGGGGGGGGGGAAGGGAACAGGTGCCAGGGTGGGGGGGAAACAGGTGCCAGGGTGGGGAAGGGAAACAGGTGCCAGAGTGGGGGGGAGGGGAACAGGTGCCGGGTGGGGGGGGAGGGGAACAGGTGCCAGGGTGGGGGGAGGGGAACAGGTGCCAAGGTGGGGGGAGGGGAACAAGTACCAAGGTGGGGGGAGGGGAACAAGTGCCAGGGTGGGGGAGGGGAACAAGTGCCAGGGTGGGGGGGGAGGGGAACAAGTGCCAGGGTGGGGGGAGGGGAACAAGTACCAAGGTCGGGGGAGGGGAACAAGTGCCAGGGTGGGGGGGAGGGGAACAAGTACCAAGGTGGGGGGAGGGGAACAGGTGCCAGGGTGGGGGGGAGGGGAACAAGTGCCAGGGTGGGGGGAGGGGAACAAGTACCAAGGTGGGGGGAGGGGAGCAGGTGCCAGGGTGGGGGGGAGGGGAACAAGTGCCAGGGTGGGGGGAGGGGAACAAGTGCCAGGGTGGGGGGGAGGGGAACAAGTGCCAGGGTGGGGGGAGGGGAACAAGTACCAAGGTGGAGGGAGGGGAACAAGTGCCAGGGTGGGGGGGAGGGGAACAAGTGCCAGGGTGGGGGGAGGGGAACAAGTGTCAGGGTGGGGGGAGGGGAACAAGTGCCAGGGTGGAGGGAGGGGAACAAGTGCCAGGGTGGGGGGGGAGGGGAACAAGTGCCAGGGGGGGGGGGGAGGGGAACAAGTGCCAGGGTGGGGGGAGGGGAACAAGTGCCAGGGTGGGGGGAGGGGAACAGGTGCCAGGGTGGGGGGGAGGGGAACAAGTGCCAGGGTGGGGGGGAACAAGTGCCAGGGGGGAGGGGAACAGGTGCCAGGGTGGGGGGGGAGGGGAACAAGTACCAAGGTGGGGGGAGGGGAACAGGTGCCAGGGTGGGGGGGAGGGGAACAAGTGCCAGGGTGGGGGGGAACAAGTGCCAGGGGGGAGGGGAACAGGTGCCAGGGTGGGGGGGGAGGGGAACAAGTACCAAGGTGGAGGGAGGGGAACAAGTGCCAGGGTGGGGGGAGGGGAACAAGTACCAAGGTGGAGGGAGGGGAACAAGTGCCAGGGTGGGGGGGGGAACAAGTGCCAGGGTGGGGGGGAGGGGAACAAGTACCAGGGTGGGGGGGGGAGAGGAACAAGTACCAGGGTGGGGGGAGGGGAACAAGTGCCAGGGTGGGGAGGAGGGGAACAAGTGCCAGGGTGGGGAGGAGGGGAACAAGTGCCAGGGTGGGGGGGAGGGAGGGGAACAAGTGCCAGGGTGGGGGGGGGGAGAGGAACAAGTACCAGGGTGGGGGGAGGGGAACAAGTGCCAGGGTGGGGAGGAGGGGAACAAGTGCCAGGGTGGGGAGGAGGGGAACAAGTGCCAGGGTGGGGGGAGGGGAACAAGTACCAGGGTGGGGGGGGAGGGGAACAAGTGCCAGGGTGGGGGGGAGGGGAACAAGTACCAAGGTGGGGGAGGGGAACAAGTGCCAGGGTGGGGGGGGAACAAGTGCCAGGGGGGAGGGGAACAGGTGCCAGGGTGGGGGGGAGGGGAACAAGTGCCAGGGTGGGGGGGAGGGGAACAAGTACCAAGGTGGAGGGAGGGGAACAAGTGCCAGGGGGGGGGGGGGGGAACAAGTGCCAGGGTGGGGGGGAGGGGAACAACTACCAGGGTGGGGGGGGGAGAGGAACAAGTACCAGGGTGGGGGGAGGGGAACAAGTGCCAGGGTGGGGAGGAGGGGAACAAGTGCCAGGGTGGGGAGGAGGGGAACAAGTGCCAGGGGGGGGGGGGAGGGAGGGGAACAAGTGCCAGGGTGGGGGGGGAGAGGAACAAGTACCAGGGTGGGGGGAGGGGAACAAGTGCCAGGGTGGGGAGGAGGGGAACAAGTGCCAGGGTGGGGAGGAGGGGAACAAGTGCCAGGGTGGGGGGAGTGGAACAAGTACCAGGGTGGGGGGGAGGGGAACAAGTGCCAGGGTGGGGGGGAGGGGAACAAGTACCAAGGTGGGGGAGGGGAACAAGTGCCAGGGTGGGGGGGAGGGGAACAAGTGCCAGGGTGGGGGGAGGGGAACAAGTACCAAGGTGGGGGAGGGGAACAGGTGCCAGGGTGGGGGGGAGGGGAACAAGTCCCAAGGTGGGGGAGGGGAACAAGTACCAGGGTGGGGGGAGGGGAACAAGTGCCAGGGTGGGGGAACAGGTGCCAGGGTGGGGGGGAGGGGAACAAGTGCGGGGGGGGAGGGGAACAAGTGCCAGGGTGGGGGGGAGGGGAACAAGTACCAAGGTGGGGGAGGGGAACAGGTGCCAGGGTGGGGGGGAGGGGAACAAGTGCCAGGGTGGGGGGGAAGGAGAACCAGTGCCACCTGCAGAGCACTGGGGGGAGGGGAACAAGTGCTTGGGGGGAGGGGAACAAGTACCAGGGTGGGGGGGAGGGGAACAAGTGCCAGGGTGGGGGGGAGGGGAACAAGTACCAAGGTGGGGGAGGGGAACAAGTGCCAGGGTGGGGGGGAGGGGAACAAGTGCCAGGGTGGGGGGGAGGGGAACAAGTGCCAGGGTGGGGGAGGGGAACATGTGCCAGGGTGGGGGAGGGGAACATGTGCCAGGGTGGGGGGAGGGGAACAAGTCCCAAGGTGGGGGAGGGGAACAAGTACCAGGGTGGGGGGGAGGGGAACAGGTGCCAGGGTGGGGGGGAGGGGAACAAGTGCGGGGGGGAGGGGAACAAATGCCAGGGTGGGGGGGAGGGGAACAAGTACCAAGGTGGGGGAGGGGAACAGGTGCCAGGGTGGGGGGGAGGGGAACAAGTGCCAGGGTGGGGGGAAGGAGAACCAGTGCCACCTGCAGAGCACTGGGGGGAGGGGAACAAGTGCTTGGGGGGAGGGGAACAAGTACCAAGGTGGGGGAAGGGGAACAAGTGCCAGGGTGGGGGGAGGGGAACAAGTGCCAGGGTGGGGGGGAGGGGAACAGGTGCCAGGGTGGGGGGGGAGGGGAACAAGTGCCAGGGGGGAGGGGAACAGGTGCCAGGGTGGGGGGGAGAGGAACAAGTGCCAGGGTGGGGGGGAGGGGAACAAGTACCAAGGTGGGGGGAGGGGAACAAGCGCCAGGGTGGGGGGGAGGGGAACAAGTACCAAGGTTGGGGGAGGGGAAGAGGTGCCAGGGTGGGGGGGAGGGGAAGAGGTGCCAGGGTGGGGGAGTTTGGAAAGGCCTTGAAGTGAGTGGTAAGGAACCTCGCTCGAAAATGTTGCTAATTTCATTTGAAGCTCTAACAAAAATATTACTTAAAAAAAACTTTGTCCGAGAACCCACAAGTTGACGGTCGACTCTTGATAATTTGTTATTAATGAAGAGCAATGTGTCAGGTAAAGGCTTTACACTAGGATCAGATAAACACGTTAATGGATTGAATAAACCCAATAGGTAATGGTTTGTCTAGTCAATTAACGAATGGGTGACCACATAGATAAGACTGCTCTGATAACACAAACCTATTAGCTGAACTATTCAGTCAGACTTATTTTGCTAATTATAAACCTGTAGATACATATTATCGATGTTTAATGAAGCAAAGGAGTGAAGAAATAAAATATATACAAAAATAAAGTAGCAACGGGGTGTGAAATGAAGTAGCAAACTACTGCCATGCAGTGCTTAAATGCAATGACAACATTTTACACTGCTATGGGTGTAGTGCAATGACCGATTGTTGCAGTACACAGGTGCAGCTGGATGTGATTGGGTCCCAGTCGGAACCCAACCACGACCCAAGCCCACAGTCTTATGACCAGTCTGGGCTTACTGCCCCTACCCATGTGAGGGTGTATTATTTAACCTGCGAGTGAGTGTAAAATTAACTAAGTGAGAGTAATATTGTTTGTGTGTAAAGATAAATGTAACAAAAACACTGTTTCAGGAGGCGGCAAGAGCAGTTCGGCCCAGACACCAGCGTCTCCCGCTGCAGAATCTCCCGAGAGCCCGATCTATGAAAACGTCATTAGGTTCTCGGACCATTCTTCAGCGTCACATACTGGTCCTGAAGGATCCCTGGAGAACCCGGTATACGAAAACATTAATTTGGTGGAGCTACGGGGCGGTGCAGGGACGCCCCACGACAGTGTCGACGCCGACTGCCAGCACACCGCTGCCCCTGGCGAGAGGGGCTCAGCCCATGTTAGTGAGAACAGTGTCTACGGCGCCGTGTGCCAGCCCACCGCTGCCCCTGGCGAGAGGGGCTCAGCCCATGTTAGTGAGAACAGTGTCTACGGCGCCGTGTGCCAGCCCACCGCTGCCCCTGGCGAGAGAGGCTCAGCCCATGTTAGTGAGAACAGTGTCTACGGCGCAGTCTTCTAGCCCGTTTTCTTTTAATAACACTGATGTTTCTATTAATTATTACACACTGTTACCCAGCATTTTGTCATTTTAAGGTTACTTTTATTACATTTATTTATTGAAAGAGCATGTTTTAAATGGGAATCAGCTGAGGCAGGAATGATCACTGGTAAAGTGATATCCTTGAGAATGTTTCAGCCAGTGTGAGGTTGCTGACGACAGCATCCCGTGTTGTGGATCCCGTCTTCTGGTTGCTCACAAAGTTAGGCCAAGTAGTTTAGGCTCTCCATTTAAGCTCATTACATTTTCCCAAGACCTAGCCAATGACATCTCTAGTACTAAAGTCTCTGCTAAACTATTGTGACCTAAATGAAATTATATTTAGTTTTTCTCAAAGTACTGCTGCACGAGAGTTTCGGTGTTGTTTGACTGGCTGTTTTTGAGGATAGAGATGATGCAGTACTTTGGACCTCAGTATATGTTAAGTTCTCAAAGCATCCGCATTTTGTAAGAGGCCACCGGTGACTTCTTTGACCTTGTACAACCGGAAGCGAGCTAGTACATGACCGGATGTTATCTCCGACAAGCTGAGACACAGTTTATGTCTGTCATGAGAGTTGCCAGTGTGTGGAATGTGGGCAGAATTACTAGAGATGGAGTCTGACCTGGACCAGACTGCAGGGAGTCGACAAGTAAATCATGGGTACAAGTACTGGGTCGCTAACTTGCGAGAGCAAAGTTGATTTTTGGGGAATAGGATTTGTGTAAGGACATCGGTGGGAGCCTAGTTAGTGCTTAAGAGTAATTAAGACACGCGTTTTGGCATGTCTTCCCCTTACTGACTTCATTAGGTCCATGGAACGTAAATAGGGGGAGGCAAGAGGACCGACTGACCATCTACCCCATGTCCTCGTGCAACCACAAATTACCCAGAACGTTTCGTAGGGTTTGATGCAGAACCCACACCTGCAGAGCACTGCCGTGTGGTGGACGCCAAATTTGTGTGCCATTCAAGTGCTGAAAACATCCATACAAATCTATCACCGACATCAACAGTTCCTTGAAGGGGGAATGAGGGATAACTCGAGCCCCATTTCAACGGGGGGCATGGGAACAGGTCCGATCATCTCTCCCTGCAACCATTCCACTACTCTCACCAGTCATTCTGCAGAGTTTGTTGAGGCTTAGCCCCCAAGCATCTAAAAGCCTTAATTTTTTCACTGAGAATATATCTTGTCAAGTTTATAACGCCTCTTGTGTCTTGTTTCCGTTGTACATAACGACCTCCGAGGGCTGGAGGTACCTTGTGTTTATTCATTTATTTGTAAATATTTTCTTGCGCTGCATTGTTGATTGGAGCGTCATGTTCCCTTATGTGTATTGGTTTTGTACACTTGTACATGTGATGATAATAGGGAGAGGTATGTTTCAGTACTTGTGTATTACTCTGTTTTAGGTCTATGTTTTGTTGCATATATTTCTTTCCTTTCCATGAACTGTTCAGTCAGATGTTGTTTATAAATTGTTAAACTATTGCATATGTTTCTGTATGTAAGGTTAAGTTGCTAATGTGTACTTTTCTTGTATTGTATATATTGTGTTTTTAAAAATTAATGAAAAAAATCTGTACGAGATTAAATACGTCACATGGTTGTAATAAGAGTCCTTACTTTATCTATGGACATACAGTGGAGTTCAGAACAATGAAGGTTTCCTTGCGTTGTTTCCGGGGGGTCAAACTCCCCGCGGCCCGGTCTCTAACCAGGGCTCCTGTACCACATCTTGGAGCGGTAATGTTTATATACGAGATAATGGAACATTTAGTAACGCAAATAAAATTAACACTGTGGAACAATCTGAAAAAGAATACAAGCTTGGAGAGTCAAAACTAATAGTTTGAAGTAGCATTGCATTGCGATAAATTTGAACCCGGTTCAGCGCATTTACGAAAACTCCGTGCATCTTGAAAGTCTACTCGAAGGGTAACTCCCATTGCCAATTGTCTTGCACTATCACGAGGCTCGGTATAGAAATACTACCAAACAGGGTGTCACAAGGAGTAAGCACGTGCTGCGATTCTGCCTGGAAGGAGGGGACGAATACCTCCCCCCCCCCCCGCTGAACTTTCACCGCACAGAAGGCAGGTCCCCACCTGGAGAGAAAACGAGTTTTAGCCGAGGAGAGAGTGAGTCTATATCTGACAATACTCATTACCTAAGAAGGCCCTCCAGATTTCCATGTTTATATTCAGGGATATATATTGGAAGTAGGGTTGGCCCACCAGAGTAATGCGTCTTAGCCAGCGATAAAGCTGTGAATCTACACCGTGAACACGTCTTGAGGAAGCGCTGTTGTTGCCGGGAGGAAGTGTGTGCTAGTTGCCTGGGTACTGTGCCCTATTTGGACGAGGCTGTGATAAGTGTGTGGCCCCAGACAGGGTTACCACTAGAAGATGCTCGTCTGGTCCGACCCTGCCTTTGCAAGTTAGCAACAGGTGCTACAGGTGATAGCAGTAACAGCAGCAGCAGCAACAACAGTGAATCCAGCATCAGTGCAAGCTCCACCTGCCTTTGTCTCTGCATCAGCCACCCCACCTCAACACGCCTCAGACAGCAGCAGCAGCCGACCTTGCAACAGTGCAAGCAAAACCACCGGGCCCAGCACCTGCTACCTCACCTCAACATAACCGTCCCCCAGTTGCATCTCCAACTACTTCTCCAAGTGTGCGGCTCAAAGTTTGACAGACCAACCAGGAAACACAACCTCAGGTCTCATCTATCGCAGACAACACCTCTCAACCCAGACCCACCTGCTACCATAGCCACTCACAGCAGTACATCCCAACCTACGACTGCCGAGGAGACGGAATTACATACATGGGCTTTGCAGACAGTGAAGAAGACACGCCCCAGGGACCAGAACACCCAATACAAACTTTTACAACAACAGAGACGACCAACTAAGAGCCATGGGGAAGCTAGGACAGGGTCATAGAAGCCTCAACGATCCACAAGAGCCTTGACTCTACCTGGCTTTATCCACATCTGGTCGTCCCTGAATTTTACAAGATTTATCCACTCCAGCGTAGTCCTGAAACCAAAAGAAATGAAGAGACATTGCAGGTTATGCAGAAGACTCTGAAACGCAGCACAAGAATAAGACTAACACTGCAATGCACACTAAAATAAGAGAGCAGCATTTAACAAGGCAAGGAAACCCTCCCTCCACTCAAGAAAACAGCACACTAACAACTTCAAGACCAATACTCAGTGCCAACTGTTATGAATCCATAATACTTGATTCTAACCTTTATCATGATAAACATGTAAGTTCATTATTCTTTCCTCAGTTATTTGAAATTAATCATTATGTCCATTTGTTTTCCAGTATGTATGTTTGAGTTAAATGTAGCATGCTGTAGTGTGCCTGTACGAGATATTTTAGTTATTACTATTGCAGGTTTAGTCATGTTAGGGGAGAGAGTGGCGTCTCATGGGGGGGATGACCATATATGGATGTTCCAATGATGCGTGCAGTGTACCCAACAGAGCCTCACTGATTCACGCCTGTAAATATTTCAGTTTACTGTATGTACATTTCTTTTAATTACACATTATTAGTGTTAAATGTATATTAGTGTATTTACAAATATGTTAATAAGTATTACTCTCAGACAGCAGAGTATCTAAAGATTTCATGCGGTCCTCAGTTGGTAATGTGTAGACGCCACGCCGTGCATGCTCTAGCCACGTTAGTCGCGTGGGGGGTGATGGTGGTTGTTTAAGATTCGCTACCTGGAACAAAAAGCTCCAAGCAGCACAGGCTATGGTGAGCTGACTGGAGAGGATCTGTAGATATGAGAAGTCTTTGGAGTCTGGTTTTGCTCAATTAACATAGCTAACTCTCTGGTTAGACCATTATTTGCATACTCATCTATTCATTTAAGTTTTAAGATAGTGATCAGTGCTTATATATAATTATATTGTGTTATTTCATTCTGATGCAATAATATTTCTGGCTACCTGTATTTCATTTATTTGTTTGTATGTTCCTTTGTTACCCTTACTTAAAGTATATTGCTTTATTGATTAAGCAGTTGATTTATTTACCCAAGACATTTGTAGTTGGCAAGGCCGCCCTTATATATATATATATATATATATATATATATATATATATATATATATATATATATATATATATATATATTATACTACTACAAAAGCATAGGAACCATACCAAGAAGTCAAGGGTCATAACACCAACCCATGGTGGACAGGCCACTGAACTTTCAAGTCTCCTCGTTCCCCATCTATATCCTCTTTCAAAATTTCAGCTCGTCCTTCTTCCTCCCCCACCTTTTCCAAGCCCTTTGGACATCAACAGTTAAAGTTATTTGTAAAAATAAGGTCTAGGGTGTTATCTTTGGTAGATGGTTTTACTACTTGCTAGTTTAAAGCAAATCTGTCACACATCTACGAGAGGTTGTGTGTGATTTCACTTAGACTACTTCCTGGGATTCTCTCTGCTATAACAGTATTTGCCACTGTTTTCCATTTTAGATGTCTTAAGTTGAAATCACCAAGCAAGATGATGTTTTGGGCAGGGTTCGTGAGGTTTTCTAAGCAGTATTCTAATTTCATAAGTTGGCCTTTAAACCGCTGAGGATTTGCATCTGACGACTTAAATACAAGGACAATCACCACATTTTGAATTTCTATTTTGAGTATCAGCGATTCCACCGTATTGTTTGTGGCGTTTAATCCATTACTATTCTAGTTACAAACCCATTCTGTTACAAATACAGGTGTTACAGTGGCCAAGGGTGCAGCTGAGTGGTGCGGCCACGTTGAAGCAGTGGTTGGAATGGGGTGCGGGGCAGTTGTGGGAACAGCAAGCGTCGTTTTTGCCACTGTATAGACAGCCTACACTTAAGAATTGTGATGAGAAACCTTTACGTTGTAATTCGGTAGAATTAACTTTCAGTACAATTCTGAGTATAAATGTATTTATAACATCGGACTAGTGACTTAAACTGGACACTAAACTTATGCAAACGTCGAAGAGGCTCAGCCACAACAGGTGAGGGAAATGTCGCCGGACAGAGAAGACAAGTGCACTCTCGCAGGTGTGTTAGTTGCTCAAACTGCACCGTGAGCTGGGTCGGATTGTCCAATATGCTAAGCAGCCCCACAACACCAGGCGGGGAACCCACCTACACCAGGGGGGGGGAGAGCTCACCAGCACCAGGGGAGCCCACTTGCACCAAGGGGGGGAGGGGCAAGAACACCAGGGGGCTAATAGGCAACACAAACAAAATTACGGTTGAGAGGCGGGACCAAAGAGCCAGAGCTCAACCCCCGCAAACACAATTAGGTGAGTACAATTAGGTGAGTAGTGGAAATAACTTTGTCGTCGCCACTTGATACTTATAAAATCTCTGGTTTTCCCGCATCACTAAAGGCTTATCAGCACATATATTTTAAACTTCTACAGTAATACTACTAATAAGTTCAAGCTGTGAGCTACTATATAAGTAGAGAAACGTACTTAGCCACTGTGACGCCACGACACCTTAACACAACGTCCAGACACAAGTTGCACACTTGTCCACACTTGACCGTCTTGCTGCCACCTGCTTCTGGCCAGGAAGTCATACTAAATACAAGACCAACTCTTAAGAACAGCCAAAACACCACCATACACTCACTGGTATTTATACTTTCATTCCAGCTTTTAAATCTACCAATAATATTACAATACATGTATTCCTACAAGCTAATAACTTCAACCCCCCCCCCCCCCCCACACACACACACACATAGTTATACGGCTGACAACGCACTTCATTCCCTCCCTCAGTCCACCAGTGTAGAAGGAACACGATTGTGTGTGTAAAATATGTGACACATGAAAAATACAAGACACATATATGTCTTCCCACTACTGACCATATACACTGACGGATCTCTCAATGCAGGTACTGGGAGGACGGGAAGTGTTCGTCAGCCCTAAGGCAATACAACTGAAATGACGACACTTATCCCACAAACTTGAAAATGAATAATTGACGACATTTCGGTCCGTCCTGGACCATTGTCAAGTCATGTAATGAAGTTGACTTGACAGTAATCCAGGAGGACCCGAAACGTTATCAATTCTTCATTTTCAGATTTATGGGTTGGGTGTTTAATCTTTAGTCGCGTTATTGTGACTCGTCGCCGGCAACTGAAAATATTGTATGACACGGTAATTGGGCCTCCACCTTGCAAGCTGTAGTGTGAGCTAGTCTTGTGGCATTTAATACTATTTAAATCACTACAGAAGATTGCATAAATTATTCCAGACTTTTCCTAGCTAAGCTTCCACTAAATAAAAACAATATTGAACGTAATCTCATGCTATCAGGTATAGTCATTAGAAGAGAGATCTTAAAGGAGTTTTAAGAACGTAGAAGACTGCGAACAGGAACCAGCAGATCCTTTGTCCATCACACTAACATGTGGCAAACAAAACACTTGTACGGGCCAAATAACAAAAAAGTAGACAAAAATAAGCAAGTAATAAAATTAGTAGAGTGAGAGATGTTGTTGCCCTCGAGTACGACTTGGCTACAAGTATCTTTGGCAGTTCGGCTTGCTGGATGCTGGAGATGATATAAAGTGTAAAGTGTGTGGACAAAGACTCTACAGCATTACATTTTAGATTATGACAATTTGAGCTATTTAGAGATCAATCTCATACTGCATGAAATAGCAAATCACTATATTATAAATGATAAAATCTGAAAATTTTGCACTGTATCCATATCTTGCTTGTAATAGATAAACGAATCTATGTATAAGACATGTAGTGTGTAAACAAAAATCACACTAGGAACTTTTCCAGAATCCTGTAAATTGAAAATATTTTTATGCTTTAACAAAAGACTTTCCTCCAATGCATAATAACATATTGTAAATTCATGGAAGCTGCAGTGCAAAAAAAAAGTTCTGACTAGCTGTCATTATAATTATAAGGGTGTGCAGATTAGGTGAAATTTTAAATATATAAATACCCGCTGAGGTCTATTTAAGACCTTTCTTGCACTCTGTAATCCTTTTTGCGCTACTGCTCATAGGATGTGTATGGGTTGCACAATAAACTCGCTGCTATTAGCGGCAACACTAAAAAATCTTCTTTGACAATAAGTGTTGAGTACTGAGTGTTGTGCAGATATCATCCTGTTGCCAGATACCACCAGGCAAATCCAGACAGAGGTTCTTAATTCCTAAATCTAATTGAACACAATAACTGACTCACCCACACAACACCTGCCCCACTCTCACAACACCCGCCCCTCCCACACAACACCCGTCCCACCCATACAACACCTGCCCGTACATGTAATGTTTTGTTAGTGATGACCTGCCTCTTGAGGTCGATAATATAATTTAGCAGGTGACCTCAACTCCACCTTCCGGGCCGTATCCGGTACAAAGAAGTTTATGGAGTCTCTTCAGGTTTCCTCTTGGTGTCCTATTTGGGAACTCTTGTAGGAGTACCTTTGAGAAGTCATAGTTGACCTGAACATTAAACCTGACTTCTAATGTTGGTAACTTGATATCTTCTTGCAGGTATCATGTATCAAACATGATTAAACAACTAAACTTTCTATTTGTCAAGATCTGAAGTATGTATTTTCTTAATTAGACCCATCAGTGATATGATTAATGGCACATTAATAAACAAATAACACATTTGAGTCAGACTTTGTTCTAAAAATTATATTTATGCTGGATGATTATTTTACAGAAAGATTTGCCTGTTTGACCAATATACACTTTATTACATTTTTACAAGGAACGTAATATAGAATATCATTATTTTCTTGGATATAGCTGTTCATGTTTAATATACCCTTAACTATTTAGCAGTTGTTTATACTTGAATATTACCTCGTATTATTGGTAAAACACAGGAAAATAATAAGCGTAAGAGCGCTGGAATGTTAAAGCATAAGTTAGGACATACATGTGTGAATTAGGTTGGTATAAATAGGAGCTGCCTTGCATGGGCCAGTAGGCCTTCTGTAGTTTGTCCTTTTTCTTATGTTCTTATTTTATGTAAACACCACCAGATGCCTGGTCAGTGATGAATAATTATAAAACGCACAATACCACATGATGCTTGCTCAAAAGTATTGTTATTTAAACAAGGAATTGATACACAATATTGTCAACTGGTGGAAGTGTCAGTATTGACTTCAGTCAGTTGCCAACAATTAGTAACGAACAATAATGGTAATAATCATTATAACAATTAGCAGCATTATTAATAACAGTAATTAAGTTTAAGACAATGACCAATGCATAATTTATGAAGGTAAATATTTAGCTATAGTTAACTGACAAATGCTGGGGTTACGTCATCAATGTTGAACCAACCAGCTACAGCAAACATTGGTTACAATAATGAGTGATAATGTTACCCATATATCTGGGACATACACTAGTACATACGTAGTGTCACCTATATATTACCATACGTGCTATTATTATCGTCATAAACCATGATAAAATACCGTTCTCCTCTGCCAGTCACACATACCGTAGTGAAATCGGATTAGGTGGTGTTTTAGCAGTGATGGGCCGGGCCTCCCGCCAGGGGTCGCGGGGGCGGCAGACGGCGTCCTGGACACTGTCACCGCCGCGGGGCGACTCTCAACTGTCTCGTTCCTCTGCCTGGATCCTGATTTAGTTCTGGATCTGGTTGCCTGAGATCTTGCAGGATTCAAGCTCCGCCTGGATCCTGAACCTCTTCATATTCGTGGCTGGCCGAGGATGCTGGACATTGGCCAGAACTTATCGTAACTCCGCCTGGATCCTGAACCTCTTCATATTCGTGGCTGGCCGAGGATGCTAGACATTGTACAGAACTTATCGTAACTCCGCCTGGATCCTGAACCTCTTCATATTCGTGGCTGGCCGAGGATGCTAGACATTGTACAGAACTTATCGTAACTCCGCCTGGATCCTGAACCTCTTCATATTCGTGGCTGGTCGAGGATGCTGGACATTGTACAGAACTTATCATAACTCCGCCTGGATCCTGAACCTCTTCATATTCGTGGCTGGTCGAGGATGCTGGACATATCGTAGCTCCGCCTGGATCCTGAACCTCTTCATATTCGTGGCTTGCCGAGGATGCTGGACATATCGTAGCTCCGCCTGGGTCCTGAACCTCTTCATATTCGTGGCTTGCCGAGGATGTTGGACATATCGTAGCTCCGCCTGGATCCTGAACCTCTTCATATTCGTGGCTGGCCGAGGATGTTGGACATATCGTAGCTCCGCCTGGATCCTGAACCTCTTCATATTCGTGGCTGGCTGAGGATGTTGGACATTGACTAGGACATATCGTAGCTCCGCCAGGATCCTGAAGCTCTTCATACACGTGGCTGGCCGAGAGTACAGCATGATCAGTGTCTAACGCTGGACATCGGCCAGAACACATGTTACGACCTCCTGGAATAGTGATCTTATTAGTTAAGTTACTGTCACAGTTTAATTTGTTTTTTTTGGACCGCAAATTGGGAGTAAATATTAAACCTCTTTAATGTTTACTCCCAATGTTGTGGTGTAATATTTACTGCCTCTTTAGAGGCAGTAAATACACACCCCATGGTATACACACCCAGTGGTATACACAGCCAGTTGTATAGACGCCCAGTGGTATACACAGCCAGCTGTATACACGCCCAGTGGTATACACAGCCAGTTGTATAGACGCCCAGTGGTATACACAGCCAGCTGTATACACGCCCAGCTGTATACATGCCCAATGGTATACACTCCCAGTGGTATACACAGCCAGCTGTATACACACCCAGTGGTATACACAGCTAGCTGTATACACTCCCAGAGGTATACACACCCAGTGGTATACACAGCCAGCTGTATACACTTCCAGAGGTATACACGCCCAGCTGTATACATGCCCAATGGTATACACTCCCAGTGGTAAACACGTCTATCTGTATACACACCCAGCTGTATATGTGCCCAGTGGTATATATATCCTGCGGTATATAATGCACTTCAAAATGAATAACATTAACACTTTACATTAAACTTGAGCTTTAGTTCAGAGTTTAAGTATTACCACTAGTTAGCCTTAGATCTAGTCCATGTCATGCACTCTTTCATTGGTGGTTATGTTCAGAGTGAACACTGAGTTCAAAGTGAACACTGTGAGTTATTATGTTCAGAGTGAACACTGTGAGTTATTATGTTCAGAGTGGACACTGTGAGTTATTATGTTCAGAGTGAACACTGTGAGTTATTATGTTCAGAGTGAACACTGTGAGTTATTATGTTCAGAGTGAAAACTGAGTTATTATGTTCAGAGTGAACACTGAGTTATTATGTTCAGAGTGGGCACTGTGAGTTATGTTCAGAGTGAACACTGTGAGTTATTATGTACAGAGTGAACACTGTGAGTTATTATCTTCAGAGTGGACACTGTGAGTTATTATGTTCAGAGTGAACACTGTGAGTTATTATGTTCAGAGTGAACACTGTGAGTTATTATGTTCAGAGTGAACACTGAGTTATTATGTTCAGAGTGAACACTGTGAGTTATTATGTTCAGAGTGAAAACTGTGAGTTATTATGTTCAGAGTGAACACTGAGTTATTATGCTCAGAGTGAACACTGTGAGTTATTATGATTAGAGTCAACACAGTGAATTATTATTTTGTTCAAAATGAACACAGTGAATTATTATGCTCAGAGTCAACACAGTGAATTGTTTGCTTACTTATGCTACGACAGCAAATGACGGCAATAATGAGATCCACAACAAGGACAATGAACAGGAGGACAATAAGGAGGTCTGTATGGAGGATTGCCTGCTGGGTGTCGTCGTCAGGGAACTGGTCGAGGCAGCGCTGATCAGGGGCTCTGGTTCTCCAGAGAGACCACCCTCGAGCCACGACCCTGATGCTATAAAAATAGTTCAAATAATACAAGTAATGTAGTGGAGATGCTTTGGAACAATTACCAACACTGATGATAATTCCCCATCTAGAAAACTTGAGAGATCTTCTGTACGCATAAGTACTGTATGTAAAAGTGTACCAGCGACGTATTTCCTCGACACAAAGGTCTTCCCTATTGAACACTGCATCTTGTACACCGTAGGTCACATTCAGAATTATGCGTATATACTCAAAGCCATCCTCGGGATAAAAGTAAAGAGTACCACTTTGTTGGTCGGTCTTCATAACTTCTTTTGAATTATTATTGACATGAACAACTTCACTAGAACAGTCCTTCCTCTTTTTCCTCCGCAGAAGGGTCGTGTTGGGATATAAATGTGACACAATTGGTTGTAAGGGATTCTGCCCCGAGGACTGTGTCTCACCCATCGGTGTGTTTCCTGTTGGTGGCACATCTCTGGTGGAGACCAGTGGTGGGTGTTGGCTGGGGGAGCGGGCTGGTCCTGGGCTGGTAGTTTGCGGGGACTGCTGTAGTCCTGGGCTGGTAGTTAACGTGGACTGCTGCAGTCCTGGGCTGGTAGTTACTGGGGACTGATGCAATCCTGGGCTTGTAGTTACCGGGGACTCCAGTAGACCTGGGCTGGTAGTTACCGAAGACAGCTGCAGCCAAGAGGAGTACAGAGGTGTTGTGGGGTTGATGGGTGATGCGAGCTGTGGTAGAGACGCGGAGGATGAAATATGGTTCCCTAAAACAATTACCAGCGTCCAGCACTTCCATAGGATCACACGCCCCTTCAAGAGTTTCTCCTCCATAAGATAGTCAATTATGAAAGTATAGCCGGTCGCCAGAGTGACGCAAGATACACTGACGAGACTCAGACTCGAGTTGTTGTTGTGTCCAACTTACGCTGGACAGGACGTGTCTTCCTGTAACTAATATCCGTTAACTGTCCACGGCTTACTGCTCCTGCTCCTTATGGAGGCTTTGTGTTTTTCTTGCTTCTTTTCACGTGACACCAGTCTGAAGTTGGCATGTTGTGGCTACGCACACATGCACTCAGTCACGTGTATTTTAATGATCTCACACATGCGCTCGATCACAAATGTGTACATACACTCAAACATATCTCCTGTCGTTCAAAAGCAAAACTGAAGCTAGCAGTGGCATACATAGAGACTCCTGGTTCAATAGAGGTACTGTTATTGGTTCAATACTTTGTCAATGCCCCTTATAATCCTATATGTCCTTATCTTATCCCCACTATTCCTCCCCCATCTCTAGTGTGGCAAGGTGAAGTTTTCTCAGTCTATCCTAATAGTTAAGACGTGCTGAGTTCAGCAAAGAGTTCACATTCAAGTAAGTTTATTGAGGTAATAAAATACACCCTCAAAGGATAGGTTATTTCTACCCTTCAATCAGGAATGAGTCTTGTTACAAATCTTTGGACTTTTCGTTAACTATAGGGTTGAAGGTGAATTATATAATAGCCACATAATTTAACCTCACTTAGGTTAAATATAGGAATAAAAAGAGCAATTTATCAAATTTATCAAAATTCCTGAATATTATACGTTGTGGTTGTGTGAGTTGTAGCTCTCTTGTAATGGGGAGGAATGCAGCACAAACTGCTTTGGCCTTTTCTTCGTTTTAGTGTGAAAATATATAATATCCTCTACTGGGCCACACACTAGCTATCGAGGGAGTGGGAGTACAGCGCCGCTGCTCAAGATGGTCTGGTCGTTGGAGTCTAGTTGCACTTGGACAAGATGCACATCTGCGAGCATGTTGACACTGCTGTTGACAACTGCTGCTGAGTTGAATGCTGGCAATATGCAGTCGATGAATAAGTGTCACCACATGTGCGACCACGCACGTCCAACACTGCTCGGCACGCTATCATTGGCGTCCTCGACTATCTGCTTGACGAACTTCTTGGTTGTGAACCTGACATTTATGTACAGTAGTGACATTTATATATAGTCGCCTTAAACAGGCTTTGAAAAACGTCCAATACCGTCTCGGGCATGTATGAATATAGCATACATTGTATAAATATAATTCTAAAACTAAACTACCCATGGATCATCATGACTAACTAGCTACATGTCTGCACATACTGGAGGCAGTAGGTCCATCTGCAGGTGGTATCAGAGATGGAGGCAGTAGACCAGAAATCATGCGCAGGTATCATGATGCTCAGCCACAGTGTTACCTGTTAAGCAGAATATAAACGGTAGACACTAACATAGGCACGATATAGTAAATAGTATAAGTTGACGTTCTACTAAAATATGGAGTGCAGGGACGTGGCTGAAACACGAGGACTTAAACAGTGAATGTAAGAGAGGTGATAAGATTGAAACTTTGAGCTAAGGTGAACTGTGTAGGTATCACATTATATACATTTGAGGCAAAGGAAAGAGAACAGATGTGTAAAACCCACTGAGAAAGGCATTAATCGGTGTAATTTTCTCAGGAAATCTCAACGGATATGCTGAGGGAATGTTTAATAAAAGTGTCTAACACATGGATTGGGTACTCATTCAGGACGAGCTCTTTCGTAAAATGTTAACTATAGTTAGTTGGAAAGGGTAGAAGGTAGTATGCATAAGTTTGTTACTTAGTCTATAATATTGTAAGCATTACCCTTACAGCTAGACATAAAAACTATGAATGTTAGGCGCTGGTTCTTCACGAACGTAGTCATCTTCTGCTACATACTGACAGTCAGGAAGCGGGGAGCTGATATAACGCATCCATTGTCCTTTACAGACTGGAACACCACAGTCACACAAGCTTGTATCATCAGACTGTTGGTGGTGTACTGTCGAAATAACGGGTCTGGATCGAAGATTGTAAGCGTGAGTACCAGGTGATGCGGTACCATTGTTTGTGTCTGCGACCAGAGTGGGTGTCACAGTGGTAGGGTCTTCTTCTTCTTGAGAATAGGTGCAGTTTGCATGAAGGGTTAACCCTCCCGATGACTGCACCAGGACAGATGTAAGGAGACGCGTTGACGGTCAGGAGGAGAAGAAAGTCAAAAGCGGTAGATGTGATGGGCCGTAGAGAGAGGAGTGGCGACGAAAACAGAGGCGAACGTTAGAGGGAGACTCCCCGCACCGGGGGGCGGGGCGTCGTGGTCACGGTGGCAGCTGATCCATGCACGGCTTAGCAGCGTGCGCAAGACGGGAACTAATACTTCTCCGGAAACTTGTGTATCGGAAAGCGCAAGCAGTACGCTTCCCAAATCACCCGCAGGTCAGCGGGCAGCCGGCCACCAGGCGGCGCCCTCGGCTGAGACATCCTATCTGGCACCCTATACACAAACTCCTTCACCCGCGACACCCAGACAGTGGACGAGCACCACGGGATCGGAAGCACCTGGGCATCCCGATAAGGGCCCAACTCCGGACCCTCACAGGGCACGACCCCAGCAGACGGGACTAGGCAATCCCCAGACTGGAGCAAGGAAGGAGGGGATACAGCAGGGGACGCAGGCGCGGCACCGACCCCACCACCGGGCACAGGAGCCGAGGCCCCCTGGCGCACATCTTTCCGCAACAGCACGACAAGGTCACGATCATCAGGCACAACCCCCCACTGCGGAGATCCAACAGCAGGAGACGCAGGAGGTGAGGCACAGGTAGCAACTTCGGAGCCCCTCACAGCACCACCATTCTCGGCGGGGGGCGCCAGATCACCATACTCCCCCACCTCCTCCCAAGGCACACCACGAAGGGGAGAGACACTCCAAGCCCGCCGTGAACGCTTCGAGACAGGCCGCACCACACCACGCCCAGCAGGCTCCGCCGCAGGCACGGCCACCATCTTTACATCCACACAGGCCACACCCGCACCGTCCGAAGAGTCCACAGAGGCCACATCACCCACACTGTCCACATCATCCAGGGAAACAGCCTCAGAACACCGACGCGCACGCGTCTGCAAAGGGACGGAAAGAGCAGAACTACAGTCACCAACACACACAGACACGGCAGGCACCTCCCCCTGCCGAAGCACCCCCTCTAAAACAGCAGAACCCGCGTTCCCGGGAGCCGGTATCACATCCACAGGCGGGGCGGGACATGGACCTCCACCGGCCGGGACATCCTGCACTACACGCAGCTCAGGCGACGGCCCGACACTCACACACACCGGCTCAACAACCCCAGGGGCCACAGCAGTCACCAGACGTGTCGCACAGGCCGTAGAACTCGCCTCAACAGGCGGAGCAGCAGACAGGCAATCAGGCACCTCAGGCACAGCACCTACTCCGTCCTCAGAACCGTCCGAACGTAACAAGGGCGGGAAATCCTCTGCACGAAAAACATGCACCCGACCAGTTGCTCCCACGTCGCAGCCAGATGACCCTCGTGACCACACCGATAACAGGTGCGCGGTTGACCCCGGTACAAGCAGCGGAGCGTGTAACCCAACACGGACATCGACGACGGTACACTACACTTCAGCGACATCGTCAGGGTGCGGGAGCCGTCAAGCATACCAACACAGAGCCCGGCAACGACCTTGTTCCAACGAACACTTAACACAGTCCCAAATCGCTCAAAACAGGAGGTTAAAAAGTAGTCCTGAAATTCGAAGGGGGCACCATGCACCGCCACAGACTTCAAGGTGACACTAAGATTCACCACCTTAACTGAGCCAGCTGAATCAGGGAGAGGGTAAACACGCCCCTCACAATGCTCGAGAAACGCCTGAAAGGCAGCCTGGAGGCGGAACTTGACCACAGCACGGTGGCCCTGAAGCAGCTGGACGCCCACCAGGTCCGACAGCTGCACATGAAGCACGTCCACCAGGGCGACACCAACCAATGGATGGTCCACCGGCACCGTAAACGCTAGACCAGCCGACAATGTCCTCTGCACTGGAGGGCGAGATGACCCCATGGCTAAGGCAAACGTCACCCTGTCAGTGGCAAACCACCACCAGCAGGGCAAACAAGCAATCACCCAACGTAAACACTAGCCAGTGCGGAGAGACCTCAGGAGCGTCCGACCTGGCCGGTGGTCACCACGCAACTCCACGTGACAACCGGCCACCACGTGATGGTAGGGTCAGTCAATACGTTGTCAGTTAAAGGTATTGGGTTGTCATCGTCAACAGTCAGTCGTGCTAATTTCATGTGATTGAGCTGTTCATTTACATGTTCACCTGTAGCTAGGTTTTCCAGTTTGTACTTGTTGCCTGTGATATTCAAGAACTCTGTAAGGTCCAAGAAACTTTTCAGTCAGCTTGTACATGGGACCATCTCTTCGTTGGTTGAGGATCATTACTAAAGATTCAGGTCCTATTTTTGTAGATTTAGCATTGGCTTTTTGTAACCGAGTGAAATCGTCAGCAGCTCTAGACAGGTGTTCCTTGATTCTCTTGTACACCAATTGTCTCTTTGTATTACTTTAATATAATCATCATAGTTGTAAAGTGGCACAGGCGGCGAGGATATGAGAGCGTTAGGGAATCTCCTGTCTGTCCCAAAAAGCACAAAGTGTAGTGTGTCTCTTATGGATGAGTTGACAGAGGAGTTTATCGAGCTTTGGACGATTGGCATAAGTTCATTCCATTTGTGACTGTCCCAAGCATTGACATATAGGACTCGACTCCTGTAGACATGTCATTCACAAACATTAGAAACAGAACTGGTCCCAGCACCGATCCTTCAGGTATTCCACTCGTTACGGTTCGCCAATCTGACTTCTCGCCCCCTGACTGTTACTCTCTGGATCCTGCCTGTTAAGTAATTATTTACCCAAGATAGGCTTTTCCGTTTACTCCCGCCTGCCACTCAGATTAGAATAGCAGTCTCCTGTGCGGTACTGTGTTAAAGGCTTTTTGGCAGTCCAGAAATATGCAGCCTGCCCATGCTGCTCTGTCCTGCCGTATTCTTGTTACTTTATCATAAAATTCTAGAAAGTTTGTTAGGCATGATTTCCCTTCTCTGAACCCATGTTTTTGTTTATTTACATACCTATTGTTCTCTAGGTGTGTAACCAGTCTTCAAGTACTTTACAGGGAATGCTTGTTAGTGATACTGGTCTGTAGTTAAGTGCCTCTTCCCTATTTCCGTTTTCGAAAATTGGTACCACATTTGCCTTCTTCCAGCAACTGGGTAACTCTCCCATCATAAGTAACTCATTATAGATCCTTGCTAGAGGCACGCTGAGGGCCTGCGCTTCCTCTTTTAGTAACCACGGTGATACATGGCTTGGCCCAACTGCTTTAGTTTCATCCTAAAGTTTAGTTTAGTTTTGTTAGGTGTTTCATTACCGCCTCTGCTGTCACCTCTATATTTGATGGTCTCTCATCTTGGTTCATCTCTTCTAACAATGGGAGCTGCTCAGGCTCGGTTGTGAACACTCCGCATTCAGTACCTCACAGATTTCCTTGTCCCTTTCTGTATATGCCCCCTTCTGTTTTCCTTAGTCTTGTCACTTGTTCGTTCAACGACATTATCCTTCTTATATGGCTATGTAGTAATTTAGGTTGCTTCTTTGCTTTCATTGCAATATCGTTTCCATAATTCCTTTCCAATACTCTCCTTATATTAATGTATTCATTCCTAGCTCTGTTGCATCTATTTCTGTTGTATGCTGTCCTTTGTCCTCTCTACTTTCTCCACTTCCTCCTGCTTCTCATTTTTGCTTCCTGACACTGTCTATATAATCATGAATTTTTTATATTCCCTCCTACTTTATTATTACACTGTTGGTAAGAAACTCTCTTCGGCCTCCTTGCTTTCCACTTGACTAAGTCCATCATATCTTGCAATTTTTTCCCTTAGATCATCCCACTGCACTCTACCAGATATTCTCTTCTCCTGCAATCCCCTTTCCTATAGTCTACTTGTGTATTCACTTAGTTGTATTCACCTAGTTGTGCTTGCGGGGGTTGAGCTCTGCTCTTTCGGCCCGCCTCTCAACTGTCAATCAACTGTTTCTACTACTACTATTTTTTCCCCCACACCACACACACACACACCCCGGGAAGCAACCCGTGACAGCTAACTAACTCCCAGGTACCTATTTACTGCTAGGTAACAGGGGCATAGGGTGAAAGAAACTCTGCCCATCGTTTCTCGCCGGCGCCCGGGATCGAACCCGGGTCCCTAGGATCACGTGTCCAGCGTGCTGTCCGCTCGGTCACCGGCTCCCCTAAACTAAGCCCCAGTGTGTGTGCGCGCGCGTGCGCACACACACATATTCTCGGATATATTTACGTATCTACATACAATGAATTATATACGTGATTAAATTAATTGCGAATACGTGTGTCAGTTTAGGCACCACATTCCAGATTATAGCTGACATGCCGACAAAAGGAGTATTATAAACATAAGGAAAACACACTAAAACGTGAACCGTTGACAAATATCAGTTACAGGATGAGACGTCCTGTGGTTATCAAGCAATACAGAGCAACAACAACGCAGATCTGGACCTGGCTTAGTGTATATCGTTTCTCTCGGGCGACTAGTTATATACCAAAGAGATATTACGAACACGCTGATGGAGGGTAAACTCCTGAATGTGTGTGTAATCCTATGTAGCTGCTGGGATTGGGCATCCTCCGCGTCTCTGCCACAGCTCGCATCGCCCATCAATCCTGCAACACCTCTGTACTCCTCTTGGCTGCAGCAGTCTACGCTAACTACCACTCCACGACTACAGCACTCCTCGCTAACTACCAGCCCAGGACTACAACAGCCTCCGCTAACTACCAGCCCAAGACTACAGCGGTCCCTGCAAACTACCAGCCCAGGACTACAGCAGTCCCCGCTAACTACCAGCCCAGAACTACAGCAGTCCCTGCGAACTACCAGTCCAGGACTACAGCAGTCCCCGATAACTACCAGCTCAGAACTACAGCAGTCCCTGCTAACTACCAGCCCAGGAATACAGCAGTCCCCGCTAACTACCAGCCCAGGACTGCATCAGTTCCCGCTAACTACCAGCCCA